CTGAAGTATGGTCTAGAAATGAGGTTATAAATGAAGAATTATGACCCATCTCATTTATCAAACTAAAAGAAACACAGTTGTGAAGCAGAAGGCATGCATTCAGATATTATGTTTTACAGTAGGATAAAAACAAGTAATGGTGTCTTTGCTGAGATAGTATCAAAATTCAAATGTTTTGAAAACTCAGTGCCATCCTGTCTCTCCCTCTCTCTTTTTTTAATGGAAGGACATCATTTAATACTGTGCAAGTCTTCTCTGCATATAAAAAGTACCACCATCTTGACTCACATGCTGTGCAATAATTGCAAAATACTCCAATTATTCCAGATATTATATTATCATCACGTTTTGCTAGACTGAAGATAAACACAAGACAGCTAAACCAAATGAAAAGCTGAAAGAAGATCAGGATAAAAATACAATACATGCAAAGCATAATTTTTTTTTTCTGAAGCTATTATAAAAGTAAGTGTAAGAACTAAGAAGTCAAGAAAGCTCTGTGTGTTAAACAGTTCTATAAAGAAATGCATGCATTTAAAAAAAGTCCGGCAAGTTAGGTGATTTGCAAAATTGATATTGCATACGATTTGTGAGAGAGTGGAAAAACAAACATTCGTGAACACAACACTTAGTGAGAGAAAAATCGAATGTGAGTTTAAAAAGAAAGGCACCGTAGCCTGCCTACCACATCCATGGCAAGTGCCTTGAAATTTTTGCTTTATATTTGCACATGCCCCTGTGATTGCTGTGTTGCGTTTCCTGGTGGACGTTACTACAGAGAATGTGGATTCTGTTGATACCCCAGCTTTCCGCAAAAACACACCAAGTGCATACTAAAAGGTTGAATCTCCAGACGCCCAAAACCAGTTCTTCTTACAAAGTAGAAAAGACAAGTGGAGCCGCTATTTATTTTGGTTGTAGCAGAAGGAGGACTATTTTAGCTAGGTTTTGTTGGCCTATTTTGAATGGATTGCAGGGAGCTTCTTTGACCAGACACAGGATTTTAAAAGAGAATGTTGTACATCAACTAAGGCTGAAAGGAGAGGGGGGAAAAATAAATTAATAAAAAATAAAAATTAAGCAGCCCAGGGAACATACTGTAGATGTCTCCACGAAGTTAAAACTCCACAGGACAATGGTGGCGGATTTGTGCGCGAAAGGGAAAAAAGCCCCAAGGCAGTCTGCCAAAATCTCGAAGTCAGATTTAAGTGCTGGCCGCAATGCATACCCCAAGGTGCTCTGGCTGCCACGCTTCAGCATGTTAATTATGTGCCTTCAAATTAGAGACGAAAAAAGCAAGGAGAGCGAGTTAGTAAGTATCAGCCTAGTGATCTATTTTTTCAGCAGAGGCAGAAATTGCATCTAATGTTAGCAGTTGCTTTTGTGTCTGTATACATATCCATGTTTGGATGTATACATACACAGAGAAGTAGATAATTTTGGTTTTTTAATGTGCAGAAGATATTCGAACAGTTGATTATTTCAGAGCAGTACAGCACTGGAGAGCCAGAAGTTAGTACGGAGAGTGATGGTAACGCACAGAAAGGGAGCATGGGAAGGTTTTAGAAGAGCTCGCAGGACAGAGGTGCTCCGCTCTTACCCCATTACTCTGGGTGGAGTGAACTGACTGCTCGCTGGTCGAGGAGCATGTGCTCATGCGGTCTGTGTCCTTGCTGTGTGAAGAGTGGCGGGGGGCCCGCCGCTGGGGGGGGGCATTTTCCCCCGGGGAAGGGAAGGGGCCCCTGCCGCTGGAGGGAGTCATTGTCCCCAGGGAAAGTGAAGGAGCCAGGGCGGCTGGCAGGGGATGCTGGGATGGAGCTCCAAAAGGAGCCCTTCTGCAGGGGGCTGCTGGGTGGAAAGCTTTCTTTGCCAAAAGGAGAAGGGAAAGTCGTGGAGAGAGGAGAGTTCATTGGTGAGATGGCTCCTGGCCTTGGCTTCCCAAGCGTCAGTGATCCTATGCTGTTTCTTGAGCGACTGTCCTCTGAGCTTCCACGTGAGTCTTTCTGGGCTCCATCAGCTGAGCCAGAAATGTTTCCCGCTGTCTTCCTGGGACTTTCAATAACCTTCATCTTGGGAATCTGCTCAGCTTCTCTCTGAGGACCATCCGGTTCTGCATTGGGAGGGTGCCTGTCTGGCTGGCTCAGGCCAGTTTCTAAGGAGGTGTTGTAGTGTGGCAGGGGGAGATTGTGAATGGACATACCTGACATCTTGTCTGCCTCTGCTTGGGCCGAGGCTGCAGAGGAGACCAGGACTGGGGAATGGTGTCTGACAGGCTGGGGGATCCGGGATGGCCGGCTACGGCTGGAGCTGGGGATGCCACTACAGCTGCTGGGGCCGCTGCTGTTACCGCTGCTGCTCCCGCTGCCACCTCCACCACTGCTGTGGTTCCTCTGGTACTCGATTGGGGATGTCAAGGCTGCAATGGGGGCAGGAGGGGCGATCGGGGAAGGGAGGGCAGGAAGGGGAACAAGAACAATTTAAAACAGACATGTTTACTGGCAAAAGGAGAGTGCTGTTCAAATAAGATAAATTCCCTTAGCAATGCTGGTCATGCCGTAGACCTCAAGTCACTTTTCTACATCACACCTTCATGACCTGCTATATGTACCTCCATTAAAGATGAAAAATCTGAAACCAGGAAGAAATGTTTTCCTCTAGGATCACATTGTCAGTCAGCAGCTCAGCTGGGAAAAAACAGGTGTGACTGAATTCTCAGCTTGTTGTTCCATCCATTACAACTCTTTAAAAAAAAAAATCTAGATTGGGGCAACAGCTGATGAGTACAAAAATACAGCAAGAACCTTCTAGTGTCACAGCAGACGTTACCGTCTTCTACTTTTCTCCTGCAGAATCTAAATGTAAAGGTGTGACAACAATGGCCACAAAAATAACACAAGCAAAACATATTCTGAATAGATGCTTAAAGTTCCACTTGGGTTTAGCCTTTAAAGGCTTGCATTTGATTAAAAGGGGTACACAAGCTCTCCACCTGAATGGATGGTGCCAATCTCGATTCACTCCTGCAAAACATTTGGAAAATTTCACCAAGAGAACACCGTGTAAATTAAGACTACCACTCTTATAATAAATGCTAGCATCTGTTCTGAAGCAGAAATGTGGCACATACTCTCCAACTGTTCTGTGTTAGCTCAGGAAAAACGAAACTTGCAAAACATTTCAAAGCCAAGAAACAACAGATGAGAGAGAAGTCGTTCAATTATGAACTTCCAGTGAGAGGAAATCATTTACCATTTAAAAAGTTGCGCTGGTTTTCCAAAATTTGGTTAATTTCATGGATCCATAACTGGCGGACTCCTGGACTGGCAGAATGCAAAATAAAGGTCTCCGTGACATCGCCCGTTCTTGATGTTAGTGCAAATTTACATGGATCACTGTCCACATTTTCCTCCAGGGAAAGGCAACTCACCTTCATGAAAAAAACCAAAAGATAATTTCCTTCATGTATTTTATGAGAAACATACTTCCAAAATCTCTTAACTTAGGAGCTTAGAGTCAGATCTTCAAATGAAGACCATCCTTTCCTTCAGTAAAATAATACCATGAAATGAAGGATTACAGTAAACTAAGGATCAGCGTACAGCTTACTGACACACTGTGCCTGAACAATCTCCAGCTGGTCAGTACGGCCCAATGTTCTCCATCAGCCCTCACTCTCCCTTCGTGTTATTTAAAATGCTGACCCCGCTGTGTAGCTCTACCGGTGGCCGACAGCGAAGGCTTCTGCTGCAGAGACAGCAATGCCTTGGAACGGGCTCTCCAGCCGGTGCTGAATGGGATGCTCAGCTGGCAGCAGAGCACCAAGGCAAATTAATGGAAGCAGGGTCCATGCAAAACGCTTCACCAGGAGGGCTGGTGCGCACTAATACCAACAGTTTTTGTTTCAGAGAAGGCTTGAAGTGGGAGCAAACAATTTTTGTTTGACAGATTCGCTTGCAGAAGAGCTGACATGTCTAAGAAGGTGGCATTACCTAGAGATGTTACCTACACATTTGGTCTGATTTCAGCTGAAACTCAAAAGAAGGGATACGTAAAGAGTTATTATCTTTATTTGCAATGCGGTATACACACAGCACAGAGCTGAAGACTAAACTCTTTGTGAATGCTTGTCCAGGTTTGTACAAGAACACCAGTTTTGGCATGCTTCCCATGTGAAGCATGCCAAGTGCTGGAATCCAAAGATTTCCATTTATCATCAGAACGAGCACAAATTTGGTAGGAAGTAATTTCACGAAATGACTGACACCTCCCTGTGCTATATGATTGCACATCTAGATGTCACTAGTGACTCCACACTGAATCAGAAACTGTTACCTTAGCAGAGTTTGTGCAGGGGACGCAAAGACTCACGCACAACAGTTACCTTGATACTGTTTTTAAACAAGAATCCGGGCATGGAGAAACCTTTCTTTTTATCTAGCAGCTCACTGAAAATGACAATCTGCTCAAACAGGAAGACCCGTCTCTCCTTGCAGCGTGGCAGAAGTCCCGTGTCCTGGTCTGTAACCAAGAATGTGTCCTGGAGCAGGAGCTTACCCTGGGCTACAATTTTACCCTAAACACACAGGCAAGCAGAAACATATTTAGTGCGGTTCTTAATTTCTTTCCCCAATCAACCTTTTTGAGCAGATGCTCATGCCAAAATAGCTTTGTATATTTCCCAGTTTCTGAGTGTCACTGACCATTATATATTCATTGATCCTCTTATACACAAGACATTCTTATGCCCTTTCTTAAAAAACAAACACCGTCAAGAAAAAAAAATTGAAAAAAAAAATCCACCCCACCCATTTCAATTCATACTGCAGTTTGAGGTTTAGTAACACTGAGGCTTTCATCTCTCTAGCCTCAATAACTCAGTCCTTGCCACCCCCAACACAGTAACTCGTATATTCTTCTAATGTCTTCCAGGGTGCTGGAAAGGGGAAGAATTTGAGTTCATACCTGCATCACAGAGCAGAAAGGGCTCTGCAAGTAGAGCACGTAACTATAGCCTGACTGATGCATACAGCTTCAATAGACAATTTCCATCTCTTCTAGACTTAGCAAAACAAGGAGAAGGGCTACAGTTGCCTCAGGTACTTTACTGACCTTAGCAACTCCTACTTTGCCTACACTGCTGAATTCATGTCTGCTCACCTGCTGATACCTGACTACTTCACTATTTTGCAAGTCATTAGTCAACAAGGGAACTGTAATAACACCAACGCTTCCTAGATTTTGCAGAAGGACTTGCGTAGTGTGACTGACACAACAGGTAAAGCTTCCCAGGAAGAAGTCCTTGGCAGGGCTATGACTTGATTTTTCATTCACTGCTTTTTCACCAGCTAAACAGATAGTAAGAGAGCACCCTACCTCATTTGTCCCCCCAACTCTCCCCACAACATTAACGGTTAATTTCTGGAGAACCTGACAAAAACTCTAAGCAAAACTCCGTCCAACTTACATCAAATCCTTGCAGGCGGCCAACATTCATCATGTCATTACACCGTTTTGGTACTATACACATGACCTCTACAGCTCTCTGTTCAAGACAAAGAAAAAGTCAAAGCTTTATTTTCCAAATGAGTTAGCAGGATAAAATTTTGTTTCATTTGCTATGGTTGCTTTAGAACAGAAATGCGAAAAGTAAACACTTATCATAATCACATTCTGAAGAAGATCAGAAAAGGAAAACAACTCTATGTCAAAAGAAGTAGAAGTTTACAGTAAAGAGCATCCAAATCACTAAGAGAAAATGTCTCAAGTACCTCTAGTTCTGTTGTGTCAAGGTTAGCTTTTTTAGAGTATTTGAGGAAGTCCTGAAAAAGGAAAAAACAATAATATGAGTTCTTTTTTCATTAATCAGCAATGAGAAATCTTAGAAAGTCTGCATTTGCTATCCTCTGTCAGACAATGACAGACTGCAGACAACACACAGAAAAATTTTCTTTTTAAAGCTTCTTGCTGTAGTGCTTTCTCCCTCTTATTTTTTAAGATTTATTCACTATTTTTGACTTAGATCATACAAGAACATGTATTAAGGGAATGACCTCTGTGATACACAGGGTTGCTCTTCAGTAAACATTTATGTGATATTAAAATGGTTACAGATGTAACTGAAAAAGTTGGGATGAGTCCCAACAACTCATATCACGTTTACATCTGAAAACAGTTGGGAGATCCCTGTCCCCCTCATATGACATTGGTACTAATTCTAAACATTTCCATGTCACTAGCTTGAGTTCATTTCGTTTTAACTGTTTTTAAAAAAAAAAAAAAAAAAAAAAAAGGCAAAATTCTGCCCAAGCTACTTACTGCAGTTTTTATAACTATCTGAATATGCTCAGAAAATAATCATATTACATTGCTTACAAATCGGGGTTCTGTTTGGGAGAAGAGTGGAAAAGCATCAGCAATATTTAAAAAATAAAACACATCTGTTACCATATATATTAAATCATTCATCACTTTACCTTTAGTAACAGCTGGTATTTCATAATTCTCTGCACAGGTTTTATTAGCAAGTCCGTGAGCTGAAGTCTGTGGCCCAGGCGTTGCTTTAGATCCTGAGGGTTGTAAAACAAACATGTTTTTATTTGTTCAGTTAGAAACAACTTTGTTCTGTTTTGTTGAGTTAGAAACACAGCAGGATATATCACTATTAATGGCTATCAGAGCAGAAATTGGCAAAAAGTCAGAGCAGGACCTAATCTTCAGTTAGCAAAAGCTAGAGTCCTTTCCCTTATCTGTATCAGTTTTGTTTCCAAAGCATTCTCCCCTCCAAGCATCTTCCATATCTTTTTTTTGAGACGATTGTAGAGTGAAATGTAATTTTTCAATCACAGGTTGTATATAGTCTATTTTTGACAGTGATTTTTGCTCATCTAAAATTGCCGCTTGACATAATACGCACTGTTAACTGCCTGGGCTAGGGCTAGTAAGGATGAGACTCTACTGATGAATTAATATCTTATATCTAAACTTTAGTTTTCTTCCCCTAGAGATGAATATATCTCTGGGAGCCTGTATCAGACTTGAGAAATCAGAACAGAAGTGGCAAGAAATTGTAATTTAAAGCAATGACAATTATATGTGCTCCCTTTTTTTTTCCCTGGTCAACAGATCTGATAATGCTTATGATTTGTACACACCCTTCACCTTGCATATATCCTCTCTCAGAAACTTACCTCAAAAAACGTATCAATGTATTCTGAGACAATGTGCTCAGACTTTGGTTTGTTTTGACAGTAAACTATGTACATGTGCAACCTTCTCTCCTAGAAGAACAAAGATACAGAATGATACATCATCATCACCAAAAAAGCATGCCAGATTGAAATGGAGTATTATTTTAAGAAGTACAGCTGTTCAAAAGTATGAACTTAAAGATCCTTTTGAGGAAAAGAAGCAGCTATATATGCAGAAATTATAGACCTGAAAACACATTTATTTGAGAATATCATGATGATTTTAGAAAGGCAACACACGTTAGAAAACTGCCACAGTTATAAATATTCCTGAACATTTAGAGATGATAGCTCAGCAGGTCCCACAATAAAATTAGATAGTAAAATGGTTATATTTTTCTTTCAGCAACAACAATGGATGAAACCTTTGAAATATCATATTTTTATTTGATTTTAATAATCTGATTATTATTCTAATATATTAGAATAATGACCTCCTTCTGCTTAGCTGTACAGAGCAGTTAGGAGAAACCTCTCAGTCTTCTATTTACTATTAGCTGTCCTATTGGAGTTTGAGTGCAGACATAGGTGATGTAGCCTGGAAATGGTGGTTGTAGCCTGGAAATGGTGGTGCTAATATTTTTTAACTCTGATTCTGTATTTTGTGCATGTGCTTTTAACACCAAGGCAACAACGAAAAAGAGAGAGAGCATAACTTCAGCCTTTAAGATTCATTCTTGATTACCAACCTTGCTAGTTAAGAAACACAGACATACACCATATGTGCCTATTACCTACTCCAAAATCTTCCTTATCATTTTACTAGGATTGGTTTGCCGTTAGAGGCTGTGCTGCTCAGAGACTTATGCAGTACTGACCATTGAAGACAAATGGAAAGCAAAAAAGGAAGAAATAAGACAGACTGAAAAGGGCACAGAACATAGATTAAGAGCAGGAACTGAATCGTCACGTTCCGATAGTCAGGGTTTTGCTAGAGGATGTTGTAATAACATCACAGCTTGCCTTTCCATCTGGAGTGGTAAGGGTGCTTTTCAAAGACAACTGAGTTACAAATATACCAGGAGAAAGTAAAAAGGCAATCAGAAACAGGGAGAGTCACTCTCTTCAGGTTTTCCATTTTACCAGTGGCAGAATTCTCCCCTCTTCCCATGCCTTTTTTTTTTTTTTTTTTTTTTTTTT